CCTTGAGGATTGAATCAAAAAGATGTGTATGCGCTAGTATGTACCACTAGAGGGGAATCGCCTGCAGAGATATTCACAAAGGGTGAGCTTTTGGAAGCATTTACGTGCCCAGAATAATGAAAAGAATCAATACCCTCCATCCTGCTCTACTCAGAATTGTCGTCCATATGACTTGTGGAGTGGTGGTCACAGGGCTAGTCCGTGATCCATTGCCGTACCAGTTTACGCCTTCCTGAACAGTTTGACATGACGCGACTGCGATGGCATCAAACTAGATGGCCCATCTAGAATACCGGCGACCTTCTGGCTGCTCGGTGGTCTTGAAGGGCTCACACCTGTATGTGTTTTATTCTACCGATCCATGATCACATAAGTTTGGGCCGTTGAACCAAAAGGATCCACCCTGACCCCGACTGGACACCACCGTCATCCTTGACGAGGAACACATCCGGGTCAGACATCCTCCTTGCCGACAGTCCGATCCGAGCGAAAACTTGAGGCGTCCTCGCCACTGGTAGCTGACATCCTTTGATATCTCGTTGAAGCCTCACTTCATCGCAAGTTTTTGGGCAGCTAGCGTATCGTCGTGGGAAAGGCAGGCGTGGATCTTGGTGAGCGCGCCTGTGTGCATTTGCCAGTGTTTGTCAAAAAAGACTGTTGTCTTGCTTGTGGGCCCCACATCCGATCGAATCACCACCGACAGGTGACATTCTTCTTAGTTCGACGATCGTTGATTAGTGAATGCGTGTTTTCTGGACTGTGGGCTGGGCCTTCGAATTTGCGACAGGTAGGTAATGAGCGACCTCAGCTACAGTACGTTCCAGTGGTCCAGCATCTAGAGGTGACCTTGCTAGTGCAGTCGACCGATCCGACGCAAGATCGCCATACAACGGACAGCGGCAGCTCCAACTGGCCTCTTGCAGCGTCCCTGGCAAGCCAAGAGCGGCTGCAAAGTCCAGTTGCTGATGAGGGGCGAAAAAGCCATCCTCCACCATTTCGTCTCAAGCCCAGCCAAGTCCCCACAGCGCAAGAACTGTCCACTGACGACTGAAAAGTCGCAACGAGGTGGGCCTTGCTATTTCCACATTGCGCGCTAGGATACAAACGCCTCGCCAAGGAAAACATAATGACACCGAGCGAGCCTCGGGCTAGAGCGGCAATGAGCGGCGAGTCCAAAACGGAGCTTCTCTTGGCCCTGTCGAAAAAGCTCCCCTGGCCCCCCTGAGCTACGCCTACATCGCTTCTTGCGATGCATCGCCGGCCATCTCGAAGTTGTATCTCGGCAACGTCTTCTCATGGGGTGGCTGAAGCCAATTTTGCGGTCGGCGGCGAGTGTGTAGAGGGGTGTGTTGCTTGAGGATTGGTGATCAAATTGTTCTGTCGATGACTGTCTGTGCACCACGTCTCCCTCCCCGTGTTCACGGCCCCTGGCAATCCACTTCTCGAGGGCAGCCATTTGGTGCTGAGTCGAACGACGTTGCAAAAGACGTTTCCATCCCCTTGAACCACCGTGTTGTCCCCGCAAACTTCGAAGGCAAATGCTACCGCGCCGGCGATGCCCCGCCCGTAATAGTCACATTTCTCTGCACCGCAGCCTGGATCTAGCTTCCCATCATTGCCGCAACCCGATCCGCCTCCGACCCGCGACCGGCCGCGTCTCGCACAAAGTGGACAGGGAGATAAAGCAACCCCTACACCGGTGCGGCCATGTACGCCCCCGTCTGCCGACTCCACCTCAGTTCCGATGGCAAATTCGATCGTGGGCGCTGTTTCCCCGCCACCGGCCCGGTCGCTTGGCTAGATTAGATCTGCTGCCGTGGCCGATTCTCCATTCGAAGGAGGGCTTGCGGAAAGCATGCGTCACCCTCAACTTTGGAGAGCATCCGAGGCACAGCGCCTACGTGCGATCATTGAGAAATTGGTACACCTCAGCATCATAATAACCATAAAGCCATGAAACCTCATAACCTCATGGCGCCAGTAGCCCATACCATCAGAAAAGGCGCTGACAAAATCATCTGCATGTTGAATGCAGCGTCCGCCAGTCATCTCAAGAGCGGCGACACAAGCACTGATAAAAGACATACAGACCTCTGGCGCTTTGCCAAGGACTGGTGGAATCACATCGGCTGGCACCAGAAGCCGAAGCAACCAAGCGATTCTCGTGGCAGATCTATGCACATGCTACAGGTCAGTACCAAGCCTTGTGGCCCACCACTCAATCTACGTCTACGTCCTTCTCGTCTTCGACATTTCCTACAGGCCGCGCCACCACCATGGCCACCGACGACGGACGCGGCAACCCCAGTGCGCGAGCGCTTCTTCCCCAGCCCGCCCCCTCCCACCCCACCTTCTCACGATGCCTTCCGGCCCAAGTCCGATTGTGATGCCTCCAGACATTGAGCTCACTCATGTGGCTCCTTGTTAGTCGGCACTACTGACGAGCAAAGATGGTAGATGCCATCCCACTTTTGCGCGGTATCCAGATCGGCTAGTAGCAATGGGAATTCTATGTAGGATCACCTCTGAAAACCGAACGTCGCGACAGTAGCCAACTCGCGATCGCATTACGAATGACAGCACTCACAGCTTGTCTTTTTTTCTTTTTTATCTTCCTCCCGCATCATTCGATGTATGAGTCATGCAGCTAGACGAGTCTTGCAGCAATCATATTATAAAAACCGTCGAAATTCATTACCAGCTGGAAAAAATACTTGTAAAATACGAAGTGCCGGGCGTATCAGCCGGCCGGCTGGTAATCAAGCTCCCGCAGCCACACGTTGGTTCGGAGATACTGGCGCATATCTTCTCTTCTCTGAAACTCGGAAAACAAAGGGTGGTTCTCATCCATCCGAAACCCGCCCGCAAGATCGTAAAGGACGTCCCGCGTTGCATCTGCAGCAGATACTGCGAAACCGATCAGAAAGCATTCATCATCGAGAACAAAGAGCGTACCGAGGACCAACATATCTCCCATGTTTCCAAGTGCGTCGGGTGATGTGCGGCCGAACAAGTTAGACGCTTCGCCCCACAGGCTCGCCGTGAGGTCAGGGCTGCCGACATAAAGCCGCGCTCTTGTGCCAAAGTCCTTCACGCGAGTCGGTTCACCGCGTGATCGGTTGCTGCCGCCGTGGAGATGCTTGTTGATCAGCCGCTCGGCGTCGGCCG